ACCAATTTTTAAAAGCAGATACACAGTAGATGTGCAAAGACTGGTGGTGCAGTGGTTTAACACGTCGCATTCAAACGTGAAAACAAATGGTTCGATTCCCTCCGAGCGCATGTTTTTTGCAAAAAGCGGTTCCGTCCGTTTTACAGATGCTCGTCGCTGAATCAACAGAATGCAACGGCAGCAGCTGCAGTGACAAGCAGTGTTGCGGATACAAAACAGCCGTTTTCGAATGGAGGGCATCCCGTCCGAAATACCCTCAGGATCGGCAATAAAAGTATGGCTGATGTATCACGAATGCGCCCGGCATGCCTCAATCCTGGCAATACTAGTGATGAGGATGCTGCTGCTGAAGACACCACCAATAACGGGTAAAATTTTGAAGTGACTGGAAAAGGATGGTGCAAATCTCGGTATATTGTGCAGTGGGACTTGAGACCCGACTCCCAAATTTTAATTTTATTCATGCGAATGCACAAGTCATCATCGTGTTCCTGGGGGCCATTTTTTTTTCTTTCCGAACACATCTCACAGCCGTTTGTTGGAAATCCGATTCTGTGGTTTATCCAATAATCCTAGCTTAGACCTGTCTGTACAGACCGAGGGTAAAGTCGTGAAGAAGGGTAATTAGGAAAATTTGTACTGTAACTCGGCCACAATGAAAACGCTGGGCCTGCTGTTGCCATACTTGTGATGAGGATGCTGTTGCTGCTGAAGACATCATCAAAAATGGGTAAAATTTTGAGGTGGTTTTATTTTTTAACATTATTTACTTTAGATTCTGGGGACAATTCCGTTGCGAACGCCGAAATACCGTTGAACAGAGCGGAATTACGTGGCGTTCACGGAGTGACACGGGCACAAACTGCACTGAGCGGGGACGCAAAACTTCGCTCCCACGACCTGTAAGCTGTTTTTGATTCTAAAAGAATGCGTATCGAATCAAATCCTGCAATCATAGCTATACAAGACTGCACTACATATGTATATCTTAAGATGACTGAAGTCTTTCCAAGTGCTGGTAGTTCCCTTGGAAGACAGAACGATTATCTTGGTCACCAGAGGTGACTGACCACCAGACGAAGAAGCACCGGGTAAAACAAAATGGAGAAGCTACCAGCTGTAATATTTGTACATTGCCTCACTCTCATAAAATTTTACTTTTTTTGGGCACACCATACGTTACGCTGAATGAAAAATTACAAAATACAGGCAGAATTGCTCGAAATTTAGCCAATTGGACTTAAATACCTTAAGAGACCAGTAGGGCATACTCTGATATGTGTGTAGGTATGGAGCGAGAAAATTAGCTTAAATTATAAAAATAAAAACTCTCTGTTAAAAGTGGGGAGGGAGGTGCTTCTACACGGTCGTTGAAGGGAGGATTGCTTAGACGCAAGTCTACTGAAAATCTCTAAGATTTTCAGTAGACTTGCTCCTAAGCAATCCTCCCTTCAACGGTCGTATAGAGGCAAGCCGTTGGTGGGTTCGACTTTTTGAATGCGCAAGTACCAATTTGCTATTGAAACGAATGAACGGACCGTTGCGGGATTGGTTGGCCCGTTAGTTAAGTTGAACCATCAACCCCGTGCTACAGTTGTGCTACGCTTACTAGCTAAATTTTTGGTGCTATCTAATTCTCTTCTTTTTTTTTCTTTTAACTTTGTAATTTGCAGCTTACACCATCGCCAAGCGTTTCGGGCCGTTCATCTCCGGCATGCCTTTCTCATCCGGTACCTCCACGCTCACGCGTTGCGGACATACGACGTGAAAGCAATTGCTCAATGGAAAGTGAAGCAGCTCACGAAAGGCTTATGCAAATCGCGCAACAGGTAAAAACGATCAGGCCTCTTTTGTTCCACCACGTTTTGTCATCTGCCAACAATGGAAATAGATCACTTAGGGATTACATTTATGTGGGGAGGGAAGGAGACCAACCTTGCGTATAGCCTAGTAGTGCTCGAAGCTAGATCTAGCAAAGCCAGGAAAACATCTCTGTAACACTAGAGCCCCACAAATTCGATGATAGTGTGTGTTTAGAGTCTGTTTTATTTTATGCTATATGAGTGATTTTAACCGCTAAGCTGATAATTCCTCCAGAAAACGAAGGATCGTCAGCAGGTTCACCACTGCCCAGCGGATTACTGGTCAGGGCT